GTGTGTGTGTGTGTGTGTCCGTCCGCAAGCATACATCCTGTACTTATGTACGACCGTGCGCATGCCGTTTGAATTTCGGCGGGAAATACATAGAAAGAGGTTTTGAAAAAAAAGAAAAAGAAGAGGGACCCCTGGGGGGAGGGAGGGTGCGGGGTGCTGTTCTTACAACACAAGGCAGGTCATTCAACAAGCGGGGTGAAAACAACGAACACTAATAATGTCCGTCCCGTAATGACAGACCGACATCCGAGAACAAAGGAAACTGCCGTCGTCTTTAAGCCAATAAGACAAGCCTGCCTCTCACCACCGCCCGTCATCTCTTTATTCCGCTCACGTCTCTGTCTGTTGTGTGGGGCTCGGCTCGCGGTCAGCACTTTCACACGGTATGCAGAATCAGCGATACATGTCACCACTCTCGTGTGTCCGACGTTTGTTTTTGCTTTGTTTTGTTTTTGCTTTGTTTTGTTTTGTTGTTGATTTTTTTTTTTTTTTTTGGTAAGTGTTACGGCACTTTCAACACAATAAGGTCACATAAGTGCCGAAGATTCAAAGCGTTACAAGACAAGAGAGTGATGTACCAAAAAAAAAAGAAGAAGGGAAGATAAGGATGAAAGATGTCTGATAGGAACGAAGGAGCAAACCACAGAGAAGCACATCGGCACAATAATGGTCATTTAGTACATGTACTAGGGAAAAGTGGGACAGACAGACAAACCAACAGAGGAAAGTAAAGACGTTGGTCCTACCAGTGGTGCCCTCAAACGACCCACCGTGTATCCGAGTTGAGCATTTGTAATTGTAGACGTTCTGCACCCCTTCCCCCCCCCCCAAAAAAAAAAAAAAGTCGAAAGAACATAGATGATTTAGGAAGCGCGCTGCTTCGACCTGCCTACCAGGATCAATCACGACTGAGAAGAATACGATGGCCCAGCAGACAGATGAAGATGCTTGATAAAAGAAACCTCCCCACGCGAGAATCGTACTCCTGTTGTCTGCAAGAAACAGCCAAGCGCCTTATCGCGACAACACAGACCCCAGTGTGGCCTAGTTATTTAAGGAAAGAGAAACGAACCCTTTCCAATGACAAATCAGTCCGTTTAGCTAGGTGAGTAAAGAAATTGTGAAATGGTATAGGTACAACGCCCATATCGACACTATTAGGATAGTGCATAGTCGGGACCTCTGAGTTTAACGTCAATTTCCAAAAGGACAGAGCCAAATGAGAAATTCGCGGTAACGAATTCCCCAAGGACACAACGTCGGACCGAGCTGAGGCTTGAACCGGTGAGAAAAGAGATGATCGTCATAACACTAATGACTATTATTAAGCGTAGGAGAAAACCAATAAACACAGGCAAGACAAGACAGGAGCAATAGAAGGAAATGAAAAGAAAGAGGACTAACAAGACAGGAGCAATAGAAGGAAAGGAAAGGAAAAGAAACAGGACTAACCAGTATTTCTTTTCTTTTCCCTCTATTGCTCCTGTCTTGTCTGTCTTGCCTGTGCTGACCACAGACACTCATCGATCATTCACTTTCGGGGTGGGTAAAGGAAACAGCATTTTCAATACCGCGAGCGCGAACGTAATGTACAGAAACCATTCATCCTATGAGAGGCTGTCGTATCAAACTGCATGGATTCAACCTTACTCCACGGGTTCAACACACCGCCTTCAATACAACCTCTAATGTTCACGCCCAAAAGTGACTGACAAAAGAGGCCATCTGAGTAGTAGAGAAAAGCAAGTTGACTAGATAATGGTCTATCATTAATAGAATGGTCTATTAATTATTTTTTTAAAGTAACCGTAGCAGGACAGAAACAACAGGCGCGAGGAAAGAAAAGTAGGACCTATCAGTGGCGCCCACTTACATAAAATAATACCAGCGAGGTTTTTTGTGTGGGTTTTTTTTGTTTTTTTTGTTCGACACAAGGACGAGTTATCGAGAGCAGGAGGAAAAGCGAAACAAATAATTAAATGTACCACTCATCACAGCCCATATAAATAATCATACATCACCAGTCTACAGTATGCAGAAAAACTTGAGGTGAACCATGCCAGAAACATGTTTAGTTGTGGCAGAAAGATTTCTTTCTTTTTCTAGTGATTTTTTGGTCACAATTTCTCGGAAAGAGATATTACAAATAATGTATAAGAAATATTTCAGCCAATAACTTATCGTGCGTAACATACTCTTTATTTATGCTTTCTTTTTATGGAGTGGGGAGGGGAGGGCAGGGGCATTGATTCGGTGTCAATGTATCAATAGACAGAGAAGGCCTGTATATCACCGCGAGGTGGAATAACTAACGGAATCAAAACAGTAATAATCTCTCTCTCTCTCTCTCTCTCTCTCTCTCTCTCTCTCTCTCTCTCTCTCTCTCTCTCTCTCTCTCTCTCTCTCTCTCTCCCTCTCTCTTAACACGATATGTATCAATACACAGAGAAGGCCTGCACATCACCGCCAGGTTGAATAACTAGCGGAATCAAAACAGTAATCTCTCTCTCTCTCTCTCTCTCTCTCTCTCTCTCTCTCAACACGATCTGCCATCCACATGCCCTTCCTCATTTCTAGCAAGATGTGGACAGACAGCTAACTGTTGACCTTACATGACTTTCACCCACCTCTGCAGCCCCGGCCCTCCGGGACATTCCTACAGCACCATAGGAACCCCGCGACACAAAAATGACAGTACGGGCGATTTCCACAGTGCCACCAGCGGCCACGTAATCGGACCGTCTGCGGCCATTTCACACCGCCGCTAACGGACACCCACCCCGTCCTGCGCACGCATAATATTATAAACTGTAGCCTACTGGGTTTGTTGTTGTTTTTTCTTTTATCTTTATTTGGCTACTGTTTTACAGCGCTCGCAACAGCATAAGGTCATATGAGCGCGTGGAACAACACAACACATTAAACATTTTAAGTTGGTAAAAAATTTGAATTTTGCCCGGGGGGGTGGGGGCGAAGTCTGCTCTTAAAATCGATTTTGGACCACCGAGGGACCTTTAACGTGAGCAACCTGCACACGGTACCTCCAATATTTGCCTTTGTCGGAAAAGGCTAGGTGTAGATCTTTCCTGCCATATGATCAAGGGAGTGGTTGAAAGACAGCAGTAAGGAGCTAAAGGGTGTTAAAGTAGAAAGCCTGCAGAAAGAGCCAGGGACCCAGTAGGGGAGGCAAAGGAGGGTGTGAGGGGGTGGGGGCAGACTGTGGAGACGAAAGTAGATGACAGAACATTGTTAGAGAGCAGAAAATGATGTGAAAGGAGAACATTTTACAGAAGCAAATTTTCTGTCGCTATCCGGATTCGAACCTACGACCTATTGAACAAAAGGCGAACACCTTAACCTCTAGACCACGAGAGCCC